TATCTCAAAAAAAAAAAAAAAACCTGTATAATTTCAGAATTTGAATAGGTTCCAGTTTTCTCTCCCTTTTTTCATATGGGAAAAGAAAATTCCTTTGAAAACTACTTGTAGCTTGGATAAAAATTCCATAGCTATCTTTCTCAGGATCACTTTGTGAATAAAGTCTTTAAGATTCAGAAACAGGGCGGCGCCTGTGGCTCAAGGAGTAGGGTGCCAGCCCCATATACCAGGGGTGGCGGGTTCAAGCCTGGTCCCAGCCAAAACTGCAAAAATAAAGATTCAGAAACAAAGGAAACTTTAATTCAACCTTTCAGAGAAGACACTCCAGCTCACATATCTCATCCACCAAGAGAATGCTGGTGGCAATCACAGTGCAGGAGTGAAGAAGCTGTTTCTTTACATGATAGTTCTCCCATATACCTGCTTCTGCTGCTACCATTGGCTCATCTGTGTTCAAGTCCATATCCACAAGTTGACCTGAGTCTGAATGTTTAGCCTGAATTTTAACTACGTTTCCTGAAGGTCAAAGCTAGAGTTCTGAGCAAGAACCTTTGGAAATGTCAGCAAATGCTTGGATTCCAAGTGGGGCCCTGCCCTTTACACAGGGCTTATATTTCATCAGTGCTTTTGCCATTGCCACTTCTACTGCACCAGCACCTGGAACCACACCGCCAACTCCTAATTTTGTTTCATATGTGCCCCCAATCTCAGGTGCTCCGGGTTTGGGTTCACTCTGCAACCAAATTTCTGTTATTTTAAACTAAATCGTTACAGGAGCCAATAGATTTTGGTGGTCTCTGGATCTACTATTGAACCTCCCCACTTCACCACCTTCCTACACTGACCTCCTTAAGTCATAGACTGAACATGTACAACATTTATCAGTGCAGGAGGCCTAGTTCCTCATGTTCACCACCTCCATCTGTTGACCAGTGTGTTACAGTCCCATGGGTGGTCAACTTACAGAGGTGCTACTGTATATATATTTCCTTTTCTTTACAGATAGGATCTTGCTACATTGCTCAGACTGTTCTTAAACTCCTGGGCTCAAGCAATTCTCCTGCCTTGGCCTTCCAAAGTGCTGGGATTACAGGCATGAGCCACTGTGCCTGGCCTGGGATACATTTTTTAAAGTGGAAGCAGCCAGGTGGAAAAAAAATGTGTTTATAGGCCGGGTGCAGTGACTCATACGTGTAAGCCTAGCAGTCTGGGAGGCCCAGGCAGGAGGATCACCTGAGGCCAAGAGTCTGAGACCAGTGTGAGAAACATAGTGAGACCTGTCGCTACAAAAGATAAACAAATTAGCCAGATGTAGTGGTGTGTGCCTGTATCCTCACTACTCAGGAGGCTGAGGCAGGAGGATTGCTTGAGCTTAGGAGTTTGAAACTGCAGTAAGCTATGATGACCCCACTGCACTCCAGCCCAGGCAACAGAGCAAGACCTCATCTCAAAAAAATAAGAAATGGGGGCAGTGCCTGTGGCTCAAAGGAGTAGGGCGCAAGCCCCATAGGTTGGAGGTGGCGGGTTCAAACCCAGCCCTGGCCAAAATCTCCAAAAAAAAAAAATAATAATAATAATAAAAATAAGAAATGGTCTAAAGTGGGCGGTGCCTGTGGCTCAAGCAGTAGGGCACTGGCTTCATATACTGGAGGTGGTGGGTTCAAACCCGACCTGACCAAAAACTGCAAAAAAAAAAAAAAAAGAAAAGAAAAAGAAAAGAAATGGTCTAAAAACTATGACCAAGCCAGTAGCAATGAGTACCCCTGGCACCAAGAAATGGAGTGGCCCTGGGCAAATGACCAATTCCAGGTCAGACATGTCTGGTCACATGGCTGGGAGGGGGGAGAAATGGGAAGTGGCTGCTAATTGGTATGAGGGCATCTTTTGGGGGTGATGAGAGTGTTCTAAAATTGATTACAGTGATATTTGTACAACGCTGAAGATACTAAAAACTAGTGAATTATATACTTTAAATGGTATGTAAATTATATCTCAAGAAAGTTGTTACCTAAAATAAAATAAAATAAACCCAATAAGTGGGAGTTAGAGTCTGTGGAGAGTTTAAAAAAGAATACACAAGCCAATTGAAAAAGTATACCTTGGATATTCAGTACCAGTAAGGAATTATTAAATGCTAAGATGAGATGAGGCCATTGTACGCGTTGTTATCTTCTAGCAATGTATACCAAAATATTGAAGGATGAAATGATTAGGTGTATGGAATTTGCTTGAAGTCACAAGAGTCACAAGAGGGGGAACTGGGTGGAGGTATAGATAAAATAGGACTGGGCCATTTGAAGCTGGGGGAGGATTGCATGTGTGTTCATTTTATTATTCTGATTTTATACCTCTGGTCTTTATATTTAAAAAGTATATGTTTTTGACTGGGCATGGTGCCCGATGCCTGTAATTCCAGCACTTTGGAAGGCCTAGGTAAGAGGATTGTTTGAGGCCAGGAGTTCCAGACCAGGCTGGGCAAAATAGCAAGATCCCCATCTCTAGAAAAAAAAAATTTAAACTTAGCCAAGTATGGTGGTGCAAGCCTATAGTGCCAGCTACTAGGAAAGCTGAGAAGGGAGGATCACTTGAGGACAGGAGTGACAGGCTGCAGTGAGCTATGGCTGTACCACTGCACTCCAGCCTGAGCAACAGAGTAAGACCCTGTCTCAAAAAGAATAAAACATGTTTTCATATATTAAGTCTCCAAAATTAAACACTTTCCACAAAACACACATTGGCACTCTGTTCTTAAGGCAAATTAGTTTAATTTTATAGAAGAAATATTTTCAAACAATACGAATGACATGATCAAAGAGAACAGTGACAAAAACAAAGAGATGAATGCTGATTATAACTTATTCCCACAACAGAAAGTTACTTATTTCTGTAATTATCAACCAAAGCCTGACAATTCAGTGATTAGATGAAGCAAAAGCCAAATACCCTTTTACATGCAGCACTAAAGAACCCTGGTGGCAGAATCCTAATTGTTTCGGGACCAGAACAGCCCATAAAGCCTGGCAGAATTTTATTACCAGGTCCAGTGGATGGCCAAATTTCGACATCAGATGAAAATACCCCTTAAGCCGATGGGAGTTCACTTTTCTAGCCTGTGGGATATTCCCGAGAGTGGCAGTCTTAACTAGGCATTAGCTGCAGAACCCTGTCTTGAATGAGGCGCAGAATGGGAGTGCTCCACCGTGCGCCTGTACAGAACAGCCTGCTCTCTCGCTCCGATGGGTCTTGACTTCCTTTCCTTGCCAGGGCCATGTCCAAATGCAGAAGCAGACATGGGCAGTGGGGAAAGGTGGCAAACACCACTGCTCTCCGGACCAACCCCAAAGCAGGGCTGTATTTGCTTCTTGCACAGCAGCAATGGGATTCTTTTAGAAAAACCTTGATGAGGTAAGAAGGGGACACTCCAAACAGAAATCTGCATAAACTGGCAAGTGAAACTGATTTGAAAACACTTGTATGGGGCTTTCTGTTCTGGCACAGTGGGTTTCCCCCACACTGCTACTTGAAGGGGCTTGCCCTGCGCTGAGGAGCCCTGAGCCCAAGGCAGAAACCATTGGCACCCTGCGCACCTTGGAGTGCAGAGACGCCGGGTCTTGGCTGGAGTTGAAAGTTTGAACAGCTTGGGTCCCAGAGGCCTGCTCAGCAGTGCTAGCAAGAACCCATGGATACTTTGTGGCTGTCCATCTACCTCTGTGGTGGCACATATAAAAAGGAATTGGCCAAAAAAAAACAAAAGCAAAAAAAAGCAAGACTAGAGGCAGAAATACATAGCAAGAGACAATTGTAAAAAGCATAAAGTTTTCAGTCTTACCACCACTGACAAATTCCATTGTCTGTGATAGGTCGCATGTTAATGAAATGCTTTTACAAAATTCACTTTTAATAAATGTAAAAAGGAAAGTGGGTTATATAAGGAGAAGGTTACAGATTGATGGGAGAGAGGAAAAACCTGATTAAAAGGGACATTTCCAAGGGAGAAAGACCTAGGAAGAGAGAATTCTGTTTTGTTTGACATTTTCTGTGACTCAGCTCATTCACTCTTCTAAGGTTTCATAAAAGAGAGTGCATTTCATGTGTAATAAATACATATTAGGCAAAATATTTATATCATTTGGCATTTAAAAGAATAATGGCACATTTGTATTACATTAAAAGGTTTTTTCCTCATGAGCTAGTTCTCAGATTACTTGAGGAACATTGGATAGACTGCAGCACGGGGGCCATTCTCATTTTAATCAAATGCACTCCTGTAATCACTCACTGGGTAACTCCAGTTACCCACATCCTTCCCTCCCCCCAAAAAAGCACCTTCAAAGGTGATCATGTCTATGACATAACTGCTACATTCACCCACAGAGTCACTGAAAATGGGCATTACCAGTTCCCTTTTCACTTTCCTTCATGACACAGTGGCATGGCAGGAGTTCCCACCACCCTCCTGGTCAGTTACAGTCAGACAGGTTGGATGGGAAGCAGGCTGAGCGTGCTCAGAGAATGGGCAGCGTGGATAGCCACCGTGGACAGGCAGGCTGAAGCCCAGGACACGGAGGCTCTGTCGCCTGCTTCAGACCCATGGGGGCACAGAAAGATGCATCAGAAGACAACATAGAACTGAGGAGCGGTCAGTGTCAGTCCACATCAGAGACTGACCTCTGCAATGCATACACGTTTGTGAATTACAACTGAACTCCTGCAGGTGACATTTTAACATAACACGAAGAGAGCGAATGTGTACAATATACTTGGTAAATGCACATATGAGAAACTGATACAAGTGACAAATTTAGCACATAGTGTTTGCATTTCAGGTGTCAAAAACAAAACCGGCCCCAAGCTCCATTCTACTGCATGACAAATACTGAAGAACAAAATTTCAGTCTCAAAATAAATCTTAAAGTCAGTATTTTCCTTCAAGGAAAAAAAAGTACTATAAATAAATTACAATACAGTGAATTTGCCTGAACTCACTTCGTTTCTGTCTTCCAGCCTTTAAGTCAAATAAAACAGCGTAAAAACTGTACATTCTTAACATGATAGTTGATCTTTTATAAAATAACCTGTCTTCGGAGATGTCAATTTCACAACAAGGAAAAACCAAGCCCTGTTGCCGTCACTATTATAAAATATATATGTATAGATATATGTGGGTTTTTTTTTTTTACAAGCCTTCTAGAAGGATAGCTTTGCACAAATATTTTAAGGACAAATTTAGCTAGTCTAAGAACTTCATGAAAATAAAGAGGCAGATAAATATTTCATGTGCACAATGCATGATATCAAACGTCATCAGCTGGGAGAGGAGGTATGTTAATCCTTGGTCTTGTAAAAAATGCTATCTTCTCCCTGCAATTGGAAAGATAACAGGTTAGAAGCACATCTGAAGATTTTTTTTTTTGTAGTTTTTGGCCAGGACTGGGTTTGAACCCACCACCTCTGGCATATGGGGCCAGCGCCCTACTCCTTTGAGCCACAGGCGCCGCCCACATCTGAAGATACTGAACGTTGTTGGCTCTCATATTAATGATGACTTTTCTTT